GGGGGGGGGGGGGGGGGGGGGGGGGGGGGGGGGGGGGGGGGGGGGGGGGGGGGGGGTCACGAATTCCATGGCAAAGGCTAGTCAAGAGGCGGCGAGCGAAGTGCTCCCGTGGTCATGAAGGGCTTCCGACCCCAGTCACCCACCACGGCTTCACCCGTCACACGTAAGAATACTAATAGTACACGGCCAAAGTAGGATACAAGTCTACCGTATATTGGTGTTGGATTATTTACCAATTTTCAATTTGGCGATGCAATGAAAGTAGATGGTTGTGTGGGTTTCGCTTTTGGTTTAATGTACTATTCAGTGTTGGAGACGCCCTATATTTCGGTCCTCTTCCCTTCCCTCACCGGATGCTCGTCAAACCATTCGTCCACCGCACCCTCCGCCCTGTCTGACTCCTCCGCCACCGACTCCAGCAACGCCGACGCCTCCGCGTATACGCCCCCCATGCCGTGCACCACTTTCCCGTCCTCCTCGTCGCCGGCATCGCTACCCCCGCTGCTGCTTCCGCCGCCGCCGCCGCCGCCGCCCCCTCGGGCACCACCGCGGGCACCCCCGCTGCCTCGCCCGCCTTTGCCCCCCCTAGCGTTGCTCTCCTCCTCCTCTTCCTCTAGGGGTGCTTCGAGTTCTTCCCGCCGTGCGAGGAGTTCTTTGAGGGAGGCGTATCGGGCCTGCGCCGCCGCCGCCGCCGCCGCATCGCTCGTAGCAGCGGCGGCGGCGCCCGCCGTGTTCGTCGCGGCAAGAACCTTGACCTCCTTCACCCACTGCTGGATCTGCATTACCTTGTTGGCGAGCTGTTGTTTTCGTGATTTCCGGCACATTTGTCGTCACGTCGGCATGATTTGGGCCAGGTCATGGGTGGGGTGTGTAGGGTTTTAGGTGTGTGCGGTCAGCCTCAGATTGGTGCGAGGTTGGTGTGCGTCCGGTAATTGGTCAGCCCCGCTGGTCGGGTCGGGTCAAAGCCTTAAACATTCCTACTAACCAGCTCGGGGTTAGAGTGTCCGATGCAGCGCTATTTGGGCTCGTGGAAAAGAAAGACGCGCCCCCTGTCCCAGTAGAACCCTCGCACAAGAAAGCGCGGTCGCGCTTTGTATCTAAAAAGACAAGTCTTCCATTGGTCAGCCGGCTAGCACTGTAGATGCTGACCAAAAAAGCACCCTCACAATCGTACTTCCATGTAATATATCAGCAAGACCATTCATGCACGCATGCACTGTTTCCGCTCGCTTTCGCTTCCCTCCCACTCACCATCTCCGACAGGTACTCGTTGGTCTTGGCCTTGTTGCGGCGCCGCTCCTGCGCCGGCACCTTCTGCCCCTTGGCCGCCAGCTGCCGGCACCGCCTGCAAGAGTACCTCTCCGGGGGATTGTCCTCGTCGAGTCCCTCGCAGGAAAAGTGGTACCACTCGCTGCAGCTCTCGCACTCGATGTAGTCCTCTCTGTCGTGACAGCAGTCATTTGTGTGCCCACCCACCCACCCACCCACCAAGAAACGAAAACGTCGGAAAAAAAAAAAAAAACGAAAAAAAAATGGAAAAAAAAAAAGTTCAGTGATTGGGTTTGTGGAGGAAGAGCAGAAAACCCGGATGATGCTGAATAGACTCAAACTCACACAGCACGCTTGTGACCGACCGCGATAGAAATACCACGGATACTTTCGAGGTATAACCCCAGCTGACGGCAGCAGCATCCTGTCCCGTCCTGTCTCTTTGTGCTCGGGACGGGAGTAAACAAAAAAAAAAATCGTTCGAGACGTGATGCGCGCTCGGGAACCTGGCGCTCAGAACACATGCTTTGTTTTGACCTCGGCCAAAATAACAGCTGCTCAGTCAAGCGCTACAAACTATAAAGTCTCGTGGGGGTACGCACACAAATTAAGAACGAGCCCCGGCAAAAACACTGGGGGGCCCCTTGTCAGTGCCGGTTGAATAGTACCAGTGCCGTGTTGGTCCCGGTTTATTCGGCTGGAACAGAATCATCACGAGCCATTCTGTGCTTTGAATAGTGCCCGTGTCCTGTACAGGGCCAGTCAAATCTCTGGCCACATGCTGGCACTCCACAGGGCCCTCCACAGACAAGAGGTTCTTGAGTGCAGGCCCTAACCGCTGTGTACAAAAACTACAACCAAGATACTCACTCTCCGTCCTCGTCCTCCCCTTCCTCGCGCTTGCACGAGCAGTAAGTGGCCGGCTTGTCGTGCAAGGGGCATGCGAAGAACACCGTCGGCAGCCTCCTCTTCTCGCCGTCCGCGGTCAGGCGAGAGGACCCGGCGATGGACCTCATCGCGTACCCTTCATTCTAAAAGCAAACAAAATAAAAGAACATGAATCAACATGTTCACGATTTTCGTTTTTCGGCTTCCGGCTACCGCTGTGTTAATATCGGAGAAGTTAAGAGCGCGGTTGTTGTTGTTTGGAGTATGTCCCCGGCCCTGAATTTGACCTTCAGCTTTGTCATTCACCATACATACCCATGCAGTCAGTACTCCTTGAACCTTTCCTTCTTTCAAGATTCCGTACACATCTTGTCCAGACCCTCCTCATCCTTGGTTTCTTTAGTTAGATTATTATGTTCTCTCTCGGCAAGATCAACACAACAGCGGGGGGCCCGCGGGCATCCGTAGGGGCTGTTTGTCTCGCTAGCTATGATCACATGAATGTACAACAGTGGCGNGGGGGGGGGGGGGGGGGGGGGGGGGGGGGGGGGGGGGGGGGGGGGGGGGGGGGGGCAGGTTCGGTTTAAGAGAATCGGGGTTCGATATAAGAGACGGGTGTGTGTCTAGCTACTCTGACCCCTCTTAAACCGTAGCCCCCACTGTATCTCAGGGAAAGATCGTGGGTATAATAAAAGTCGGCATCGTCTCTACCAGAGAGCGGTCGAGAACTAGACAAGACAACAAAAATCAAACCCATTTCGAAGTAGAACATGTCGGACTCCTTCTGCTGTTGTGCAGCCAAAAAAGTAGAAAAAAAAAATACAAGCAAGGAAAAAAAACTTGCCTGCCAAGCGCACGCAGGGTGGACCCAGATGTTGCACGTCTGCTGCTGCCTCGTTCCGGCGCCGCCGCCAGACCCCTTACACCTCGTCACCCACCGCTCCTCCGACTTGTCCTCGCACAGCGCGCAGCACACCCCGGCGGCCTCCACCTCCGCAGCGGCAGCGGCGGCGGCGGCGGCGGCGGCGCCTTTGGCCTTGCCGCGGGTCCCGGCCCTGCCGTGGCCGCTGTCGCCCGAAGACGGGCTCGTCGGGGGAGCAACGCCGACCTGTCGCCAGGCGGGAGTCGTGCTGGATCCCTCCTTCGCCACCTGAGCCGCCACAGCGGCCCAGAAGTCCTCATCGCTGGAGGGCAGCAGCTGCTGGTGTTGCTGTTGTTCCGCGGCATCGGCCGCCTTGAGGTTTGGGCAAGGGGGGTACACGGGGGCAATTTTTGCTCATGATACTGCGTCGACATCGTCTTGTTCGGCGAGGAAACGACCCGGCCACAATTGGGGGAGAAAAGTGGGCGGGGAGTACCCTGCCAACGCGTGTGCCTTGTCCTAATCAGAACTGAGCAGGGCTTCGGACAAGTCCCGTTCACGGCGGGGGGGAAGAAGCGCGTTTCTCAATACCGTTAAGGGTGGAGAGGTTGCGAATGAGAATGATGATCGCCTGTTGATGATCGCCTGTTGCTCGATCATGTGGAAATCAACAGCTAAAAGGCGGATGATTTATTGTTGGTCTACTCTCACAAGTATAGCGTTGGGTCATCGTCACCGTAATTGCGGGCATTCTCACGTCGTTCTCCAACAACAACGCCTCTGCCCCGCATTCGGCGTAATATGTCGAAAGCGAGGCAGAGGCGGGCTTGTTGGAGCGGTAACTGGCGAATCCCCTCAAAGCCACGTGGAGATCAGGCCCAGGCCCAGAATATATGTTGCTAGAGTGGACCACATACTGACCGGTCTAGACCAACCATTTACCCGCCTAGTTCATAGCGGGTCTGCTCTTGCGAACCAGAGCGTTGGGTCTTCTTCCCCCGTGTGCTGAGGACATCGTCCACTAGACTTATCAACAACCCCACCTATGCCTCGCTTTCGGTAAGTAGTGTGGCGCAATCGAGGCAGAGGCGTTGTTGGAGACCCACGTGGAGAATGCCCGAAATCACAGGGACGATGGCCCGAAACCGTATTTTGCAAGAGCAAGCCAACCGCTCACCGGCAGAGACCAAATTTTCACCCACCTATTTTAGTTGTTGGTCAATACTCTTGCGAAATAACGTTTTGTTCATCGTCACCGCACGCACAGACAGTCTCGACATGGCTGTCCAAAAACCACGCCTCTGCCTCCCTTTCCGTCAAAATGGCGAAAGCGAGACAGAGGCCCGGGTATTGAAAATCCGAGTGGATGTGGCCCACACTTGCGGTGACGATGACCCAAAGCTCCTCCTTTCGAATAGATAAACCACTGACCCACCTAGCAGCGTCCCTACTGTTGTGAACCATAGCTGTGGGTCTCCGTCCCTGAAATTGGGGACATTTTCCACTTGGTTCTCCAACAGCTACGCCTCTGCCTCGCTTTCGGAAACTTTGGCGAAAGCGAGGCAGAGGCGAAGATGTTGAAGAGCCTACTGGAGTGCCCACAATTTGACTCGAACGAAGACCCACAGCCATATTTTGCGCGAGAAGATCAACTAGTCACCCGCCTAGTAGCTGGGCGTACACTCTTGCAAAAAATAGCGTTGGGTCGTCGTCCATGAAATTGCAGACATTGTCCGCTTCGTTCTTCAACGACCACACCTCTGCCTCGCTTTCGGAAAAACATCGTCTAAAGCGAGGCAGAGGTGGGGTTGTTGGAGAAACAACTGGAGAATGCCTGTACTTTGACTCGGACGAAGGCCCATACCCATATTTTGCACGAGTACATGTAGATCAACTAATAGTCACCCTTCGGGCAGTTGATCTACTATTGCGAAGCTTTGCTGCGGGCCTTGTCCCCGAAAATGCCGACATCCTCCACTTCACTCTTCAACGACCACGCCTCTGCCTCGCTTTCGGAAAAATATCGTCGAAAACGAGGCAGAGGTGGGGTTGTTGAAGAGTCAACTGGAGAATGCCCACAAGTCCACGCGAACAAGGCCCGCAGCTAAGTTTCCAAGAGTGGACCAACTGCTCACCCGCCTATGTTAGTAGTTGGTCGACTCACGCGAAATGTAGCCTTGTGTTTTCGGCCTCGAGTGTTTCGGACATTGCCCAGTTGGTTCTCCAACATCCACGCCTCTGTCTCGCTTTCGTAGAATTCGCGGAAGAGGGGCTGAGGCGAGGTTGTTGAAGAGCCAACTGGACAACGTCTTCAACTACATAGGGGACGAATACCTCAAAGTTAGATTTTCAACCCACCTACCCGCCTATTTGTCGAGTACTTAGCTACTCTTTCGGTATACAGCGTGGAGTCTTGGTCCCCGTGTTATTGCGGATGTTGCCCAATTGGTTTTCCAACAGCAGTCACGCCTCTGCCCCGTTCTCGGAAAAGCATTGGCGAAAACAAGGCAGAGGCAGGGTTGTCAAAAAGCCAACTGGAGAACTATTTAGCGCAGTAACACGGGGGACGAAGACCCACCGCTACACTGAGAAGATAGTGGTCCCAACTGCCCCCCCGAATCCAGGCCAAAATGTCCACCGAGCATAGGTGGTCACCATTCTCTACAACTTCCCTGCCCACGGTAACATTGAGAAACGACCGTCTCCCCCTCGACATCATGCCCGCGGTTCCGAAGTAGGAGGTATCCTAGAGGAAATACTTGACACAGCGGCGCCAGAGGCTAGGCTCGGCGGGTGGGAAGCCTACCATCGTGCGATAACTCCATATCTGTCTGAGTGCCGTACTTTACGCTCGTGTCCAACAAATAAGGCGTTCGTGGGCTGAATGAGCAACAGATGCGGCACAGCAGGCCGCGTCAAGGAGGACCTCCAAGGTGGGCTCTTGGGCAATGGAATGTACTGCTACCCATGTGGTTGCAGGTTGACGCATGCGGCAGTGCAGGCACTTGGGTATTGAATGCTGCAACAAACTACAGTCTTGGACTGCTGCGATGTACTTTTCAATGCCCGTTCAAAATGGCTGCTGCTATCCTGGAATTCACCACACCCCGGAGCGAAGTATGTTCCTTAGCAAGCCAACTTCACGAAGAAAAAGGACTGCTGTATTTAGTCTGTTAAGTCTTCGTGCTGTGCATCGGCGGCGCACACCAGGCATGGTCAGAGCAGGGTTGTTTGTGTACCACACGGTAACGCAGACTTTCGCCACGAGAACGCGGCTCCTACAACCGGCAGTTACAGGTAGGCATCCAACAAGAACGACACGCTTTTCGATTTAGCGAACAATGTACGACAAGAAGGTACTTTGGTACACTCTAAAGGGCGCACTATCGGCGGACTTGATCCCAATAACCAGCCGAGATCTCTCCTCGGCACCGGCGCGACACCTCGGGACTCTCTCCCGAAGATTTCAAGGTTCAGAAGACGGCTTGCATCACAACAACTTCACCGCCAGCACAAAAAGTCAAGTAAGCGATAGATATACATACCATATTTCACCCTCTCTCGCTGTTGCTCTCGCTCGCTCTCCAACCTCGAACTGCTCCCTCTCCCACGAGCGGTGAGCGAAGGGGGGGCCAACAGGTAGGATACCCCAAGTCGTAGCTGGTACCATGTATGTGGCCCCGGCCAGATTTCATCACGAACAGAAGGCGTATCCTCCAGCACAGAAAAGAGGGGACATCCATCATGTTTTGGGATCCACAGAAGGACCCGCCGGCTGGCATCGTGATCACTACATGCACGTATGCTTTTGTTTGCCGACAATTTTGTCAAGAGGCTTCATTGATATGACGTGAAGCATAGTCGCGACTCCGTAAGATAAGGAGATGGTTTGCTATGTGGTGTACTGTACGTGATTGAGTTGATCGAGACCCACCAGCAAACGGATGCTCTCAAAGGAACGTGATCCATCATGGATCGCCCCGAGGTCTAGGGCGAGGCTATGTAGCTCGTAAATCCTCTTGAGTTCAGTTCATGGGCTCGTTCAAATCCTGGAAAACACGGTAGTTCGTCACTCAAGAAGTCGGATTTCCTTCTCCAGGCCAGACAAGTTGAACTATGTACAGCAGCATACATTCAGCATGGAGGGCAGCGGCCTCCCCAAGCGCATGCTGTTAGGAGCGATGGCGGGGGGCGTGGGATACCGGGGCGGGCAGGAGAGCGACTGGGTGTGTCGTCTAGGAGAGGACCTCGTGGCCTTCAACATGAGAGACGAAAAGGAAGGGGGAAAATGGAAAGAGAGCGCCAAGGACCCGGAGGTGTGGTACAACAAGGTCGAGGACGGGGCGGCATGGTTCATGAGGAAATGGCACAGGCAGGAGGCGGAAGCGTCCGCGAAGCGCCAGCGCGCGAGGGAAGCAGAAGCAGAGAGTACAGTTAGCGCCCGCAGTTAAGAAATATTTTGTTAAGAAATCGAGGCTCACTTTTTCACGAAAAACAAGAAACTAGGGTTAAGAAACAAACTCAATCTGGGTCACACAAAGAGAAATGTCTCAATAAGAAACACAGCGGCGACCGCTGCCCTACTACATAAGAAACGAGGGTTTACGGGGGAGTGTGTCGAATAAGAAACAAACCCCACAGCTCTCTCGCTCTTTCCCCCTCTCCCCCGACCCCCCCCTCCCATAGTGCATCATGATTAGTTGTACGACGAGGGGGGAGGTTCTCGTGAAACTCGGGTTGGGTTGGTTCGGGTAATTAGTCGCAGATCTCACCCCGCTTCGCTCACGGAGCTTGCAACATAATGACGGGGTAGTTTTCGTTGTGGCACGTCAGCGTGCGGGTGAGGCATCATGCGGTGTTCATGCATTTGTTTAGTTTCAGCCCTCACTCACGAGGGGGGTACAGGACCTTGGAGCGATAGCGAGACGTTGCCGCTGGATACGTTTCGCTTCTAGGGAGTGGTGGCCTTACGTGCAGCCGTCGGTAGTGATAATCGGGGTTGAGTACGGGGGTCGAGGAAAGCAGCGCAAATCATTTGTATATTTGAAACGTTGTGTAGTATGCAAGCAGAGAAATAAGAAATTGCCGATTTGAGAAATTCAGCAGGACTTGGCTGCACGAAAAAATAAGAAACTTGAAAGAAGAAACTGAACGACATACGCTGAGTTTATAGCCCACAATGAGAATTCGAGGATGGACCTGAAATAAGCGTTTCTTAACTGCGGGCGCCAACTGTACGGCCTCAGGACCGACGAGAAAGAGAGCCGGGGAAGCGGCGGTGGGGGGGAAGAAACGGCGACCGGACCCTGCTGTAGAAGCGAGTAGGGCGGCCGAGGCAGCACTCGTGGCGAAGTATGTACCCGGCTGATGCTGCTGCGCCCTGTTTTCCTCCCTGCTGTATGCTATACTCCTTTATGTATGCCCTTTGTATTGCCTTCGGCCTCTGTGCTGTGTTTCTGTGTTTCTTTTTTTCATGATCTCACTGCCTACTCTACTGTGTTGGGTACCGTGATCTCGCTTTGCTGTTGCCTTTGTTTTTGTACGTCTGGCTGTCTGCCCATCTGCCGCCTCTGTGTCCTGTTTGCTCCGTTACTCCCATACCCTGGTGCGTAGTGCCTGGTGCTGGTACGTTACCCTTTGATTTCTTCTTTGGGCGGGTGTGGGAAGCGTCCTGCTTTATTATAATTGTTATTTTTTTTTATCGGTTTCCGAGGGCTCTTTTCTCGGACGGTCGGTGCGATACCTGTCCTTTTCTTTCTATCGTTTTGTTTTCTTCTTCAAGTAGTTTGTACCCTATTTGTGTTTTGTTTCCCCGCGGCGTCGTATGTGCCGGGTTTTGAGACCACGGGCTCCCCATTTTTTGTGGACTATAGAGCTAATGTGAGAAACAACAACATTCAAGATGTTTGGGCATTCATGCGCCAGGAAACCTCCGAATACTCGTAGTCTAAAAAGTAGTTCAACAAATATTTGCTGTGAGATCACCCGGTACACCCAAAGGCTGTGCAGAGACGGGAGCCAAAATAACAGAATGATGAACGTCGACGGGACGACGACAACAACCGGACGAAAAAAGGGGAAACGTCGTCCAAGCAATGTGAACAAAGGAGGCGGCGCTCGTTCATATCTCATCGCGTAACCTGCTGGATGTAGCCAAGAAACATGTTTTTCGCCTGCGCCGAGAGGGCTCCCCAGGTATGGAACACACATACTATCTGTTCACTGCTGGCCATTGAGTCTAGACTACACGTGGACATATGCTGTCCTAGAAGCCACTCGCATAACGATAGAAGCAGGGTGCTGCCTGGCCTTTCTCGGGGAACTTCGCAAACGACTGAAGACATATTTGTGGTGGTACATCATGGACGATAGAAGGCCTTCACCCGTCCGCGCCGCCGCAAAAAGGCTGTTCGAGGCAACCTGTTTTGAAGAAACTTGACGCTCGCCATACCACACACACCAACACAAAATGGGAAACTTCAATATTCATCAGGTTGATCTGTTGGCACGAGCTACAGCAGCTGTCAAACGAAGTGCAGTGTACACACACTCATGAGTGTGGCTGACACTGCTGACCTCGTTTCACAGGCCTTAGCCTGTCGGCCTGTAGCCTACACAGCAGTCGAAACCAATGCAAGAAGAAGAAACACAAAACAGCGCGGGTGATTCTACTTGGAAGACACCCACACCCACTTGCGCCGGAAAGGCGCCACCCTAAACCAACTTCGACACAAATATGGTGCCATCAACGTCCTGGGACAAGCAAAATCTAGATGCTACACACGTGGTACACCTCGGAGCGGTCCGACGTAGCACGGGGGTAGCACTGTTGCTGCGGGTCAGCATCCAGCTACACGACCTGTTGTTCGAACTGCTGATTCCCCATCACCCCCCCTTCTGCCCCATAATCACCTTCTCTGCCGAGTCCGCTACGACAACGAGACTCCGACGAGATAAAAAATTTCCCTGCCCAAACCGCTCGGTACGTACTTCAAGCACACACGATACCAACGAGGCAACATAATACAGCCCTCAGTCCGGGACTGTCAGCTACCTCAGGTACCTATTTAGTACAACATCACACGGTGGTGTGACAAAGTCGGACAAGAATGGCCGATTCACGCCCGGACCGTCTCATCGGCGCGTGTCACTGGAGCAGCGAGGCGCGGCCCCCGTAGGGAGGACACCAACAGGTCGTCAGGAGCGTTCGCTGGATGAAACTCTTCGGGAATGTTGAACTAGTACAACACAAGCATGGTACAGAAAAACAAAAGCATATACATATTGCTTGGAGAGAACCCCCTTTCTGTACACATGTCGTTGTACTACACTCCTGCTAAGAGTAACAACCACGCCCGCAAAAACGAATCGCCTGGTTGTTTGCTATGCTGACAAGTGACCAAGAACGCCCGAGTCTTGGAACAAAACCGCATCAGTCCACGTGCGCATGCTCCCTTTCGAGACTCCATCTTTATCTCCAGGTTGTCGGAGGCGTTTCCTCCCTCCGCCGAAGGCCGAAGGCGAAGTGCTTCTTGAGGGCAACAAAGACGGCCAAGGAGGAGGCGACGTCGATCGAATTCGGGCCAGGCCAGCGGCAAACCTTCCCGCCTTCACACAGAGGTATCGGATTGTTCAGTCTTCCTTTGGTCGCTTGATGCTGACGAGCACACTCGCGACAACTACGGTCACCACCACGAGCACCGCCACCGCACAAAGGCAGACCATCCACCTGCGAGGCGGAGGAAACAGAAGGAGGTCGAGATTGCAGTCGCGAGCAAAACGCGACAAAGGAGGGAAGGTAAAAACACAGTAGTAGAGGTGAAATACATACTCGACGAGCGTATTGGGTCCGTGTATAGAAGAGAGAGGGGGGCATACACCCGCCTTCTTGCTCGCGCTGGCTTTCTCTGCCGGCATTTCCACCAACATCACGAACCTCCCGTGGGCCCGCCCGCCCGTCAAGCAAGACTTACGAACTCACATTGGTGTTCCCTTTTCTATTGTCGATACCACGAACTTTTTGGCGCGCAACGCCTCCCTCGCGATCAGGGCCTTGAAGTTTTCCAACGGTCCGAAGGGCGACTTGAGCGCCGAGACAGCCACTTGCTTCTTGTAACCGTTGAGGGCAAACGCCACCAGCGCTTCTTTTCCCCGAGATTTCTGCGGTGGNGTACTCTTATGTTTTGCATGCCTTAGCGGTTAGACCATTGACCACGCGTCCTCGAGAGGACGGAGCATTGTTCCTACAGGACCGATCACCGATGGCCAATCCTTCCTTTCTACTTTGCCAAAGGTGGCTCAAAAATGTCTTCTCTAGTCTGTCAATCCTAACGATATCCCTTCCCGCCTTTTCAAACCACCTCCTACGCCCCAGTACAGCTACCGTCCTTTCCTCCCTATCCCATGCCTCAAGCATCTCCCTGTACGTCCCATCTGTTTTCCCCAGCTCAGTCACGTACACCTCCGTCTCCTGCTTGTACCACGGACATTCCGCGACTACGTGAACACGGTCTTCGCATTCGAAGCCGCAACCACATGTGAACTCGTCGTCTTCGTCGTCTACCGTCCAATGTCTTCGTCGACGTTCTCGAAGGCCTATGTCCCCGGTCCTGAACTTGACCTTAAGCTTTGTTCCTGCATCCATTGGTCCATGTAGGTAATCCTTGAACCCTATTCCTTCCTTCAACATTCCGTACACTTCTAAACCCTGCTTGTCCTTGGATTCTTTCCTTAGATTCTGTTCGTCTCTCTCGGAACGAGCAACAGATATCTTCTCCTTGAACCCCTGTAGACCCTCCGTTCCATTGTTTCATCTTCGTCGATGTCGAGCCCCTTCCACACGTCCTCTACAACCTTGACCTATTCCGTGGGTTGTCTACCCCTCTTTTTGTTTGCCCACTTCGCCTCCCATACAATTCTCGGCAATCTCTCCTTTCCCATCCCGCGCATACGATACTGTCATGTCAGCTTCCTCGCGTCTCTTCCCGACCGTAGGGATTGGATCCCCAATTCTGCCCTCACGGCCGCATTACGTGTGCGCTTGAAGCATCCTAGGATGATTTTCGCTGCTTTCATCTGCGCCGCCTCGACTTCTTCCACTACCTTCTTATTTCCTTCCCACACTTCTCCGGCGAACCCTAGCGGCGGTACGATTACGCTCTTCCAAATCGTCAATTTTATGCGTGTATCGAGGTGCCGGTTTGAGAGTATTGGGTGCAGCTTCCCTGCTCGTGCTCCTTTTCGGCTACCTTGGACATGTGTCCATTCCACGAGCAGTCTTTTGCGATCTCTACTCCGAGGTATGTGTACTGGTCCACTACTGCAATCTCCTCGATCCCCCACTTCCA